CATGAATATTCAAAAACTTTCTGTTTCCAAATCAACTTGGCCAATTATGCAGTGTAATTTCTCAAGTGATGGATATAAGCTAACTACTTAGTTTTTCATTTATCCAATAAATCTCATTGAGCACTTCCAGTGGGTGCGGCCCTGGGCCAGGCTCGATAAATACAAAAGGGAACTAAATCTGGCAGTGTGATGGGAGAGAGAGCTGTGAATTAAATGATTAGACAGACACATGTACACCTCTCCTGCGTTTGTGTTGGATAGGAGCCCTGAGGAGCAAAGGTCCACAGGAGTGGCGCCCCCTTGTGTCCCGGCAGTGAGTGGATGCTGTGACTGCAGGGGATTTTAAAGTAAGTCAATTCATTTTTATTGTCATCTCTTGATGGGTACTCAAAGTATTTTTGTAACAAAGTCCTCCCCCTCCTAGATAGAAGACTTTCACCAACCCTTGTCTTAAGTGCACCAGGGGATGAGACAGAAGAAGAGAGAAATCAAGAGGGATGGAGTCGCTCAAGTGAGGCTTCCAGGAAGATGGTGGCATGAGTGTGGTTGGGGAGCAAGGGGAAGAAAAGTAGCAGTTCACCTGGCAAAGAGGTGAATGGATGGGAGGGCTCGAGTGAGCAGTTACTCTGTGCCAGTGGGGACAGGGGCAGGGCCCCGGCGGTGACACACATGAAGGAAGTGGGACAGGAAATGACAGAACATGTCCCAGAAAAATGGCACTAGCTTTGGTGACTACTTTCAAGAGAAGCCAAAATTCCTGATTTTTGTGTCAAATATGCCCCATTGTTTTAAAGTATTAACAACCAATTTTAAAAATAGACCATAACAAAGGCTGGGGATTTAGCTCAGTGGTTTTGCTGCCTGCTGCGCAAGCACAAGGACCCAAGTTCTATCCCAGGTACAAAAAAAAAACAAAACTAAAAAAAAACATTTACCGGGGATTTAGCTCAGTAGTTTCACTGCCTGCTGCGCAAGCACAAGGACCCAAGTTCGATCCCCAGTACCAAAAAAAAAAAGTATTTAAAAAATAGAGCATAACAAAGCATACAACAAAATACTTCTATTGGCCAAGTTGAGCTGATAACTTCTCAAGGAGACGAAATGAAAGAAGGTCCATGCTGATAGACAAGTGGGTACCAAGAAAGAAGGGGAGAGCTGAGAGTGAACCATCTCCATGTGGAGAAATAACCATGCTCCCTTGCCACAGCCCCAGGCATGTGGACATGCCACCTCCATGTGTCAGCTTCCTCCTGGTGTTGGGATATTTGTGTCAGGCCTGGTCATTCACCTTTCTTCCCCAGCACCTGTAAACTACTCCAGAACAGAAATTACCTTTACCACCTCCCCATCCACTCTGACGCTGCACACAGCATGGTACAGCAGACGTGTGTGTGGCGGGACACACCAGCTGGGCCCATGTCATTGCATGTCATCTTCCAGGCTCTCTAATGCACTTGGATGGCTTCATGCTCACTCGGAAAGGATGCCTGTTCTTTGCTAAGCACCTGTCATCACCCCTGCAGCATGCTGATCACTTCACAGGCATCATCTCAATTCAGCCTCCCAACCTTCTAAGAAGTCTCAGTTATCCTTTTGCCCATTTCCCAAATGAAGAGATAGAGACCAGAAGAGATTAAGTTGCTTTCGGAAAACCCCACAGCTAGGAAGTAGCAAAGTTGGGAACCAATTCCAAGTCATACCTACTCTACAATGCAAACTTTTAAACATTGTGCCCCATTAGGGTACAGCCAGGGAAAGGAGAACAAAGGTTATCAGCATTAGAGTTACCATTCTTCGAGAGATCATTAAATGCTCTACTTAGAAATGTCCACCATCTTTGGTTTGGACACACTGCTCTGGGTGCAATTTGCTTAGCAGTTGTTCACTGACAGCTGCTGTAACTCCACACACCCATGACCTCCTCATCCTCAAGGGTGCTAGGAGGACAGAAGCTTGGTTCTGCTGTCTGTCACCTTTCCAGTACTAAGACAGACAAACAAACCTCCAAGATGGAAAGGAAGAGGTGTCATTTAACCATCTTATTCCAGTTTCTTCCTTTGAATAGTGTGAAGGTGGCTTGGGGAGATGTCTATCATCTTGGATTCTGCGACTAAGCAGATTGAGGAAACGTATGGAATAGGATCCCATTTATGAAGAATGAAAATTACACTAAATGATAGGAGTTTTACTTAAGTAAATATATATAATTTAAATGGTTCTACACATATAGGAAAGCATCGGTGAGGAGGGCTTAAACTGCTAACAGTGGTGGACTGTGCTTTTGTTGTTCTGGCTTTTATTCTTTTTTAATTGCATATATTCTTGGGGACACAGTGTGATAATTTTTTGCAGATATACAACATCTAATGATCCAGTCGGGCAATTAGCACTTTTGTCTCTGTAAACATTGGTCATTTTCTCCTGTTGGGAACTTTCCAGCTTCTCTCTTCTTGTTCTCTCTAAAGTACTTTGTGCTTTCAGGAGTGATGGGAAACCATAGGGGAGGACAGTGTTTGCTTTTCAGCTCTACACTGTTAAATATTCTACCAGACACATACGTCACTTTGCATTTAGAGAGAATCGATCTGAAAGGGAGGCCCATCTGGCCTTCAGCGTATCTTCAAAGTTCAGCCCTTTCTGGGGCGCCTGCCCCAGGCTGAGCCCACCACATGCCTCAAAGCCTCCTCCCTTGCTCCATCACCTACAACTGACCAACTGCTTCTTCTCTTGCTGAACTGGCTGCAAAACATCAATGCTCTAATGTGGATGGAAGACGAAGCCTGCTTTCACGTTATATTTGGTGTTGATTACAATACCAACAATTCTGCTACTATTTACCAAGCACTTTCTCTGAGAGAGACACTCAGCTAAGACTTTTATTATGCATCAACCCTGTGATCCTTACAAAACCCTGCCAGGAAGCTTCCGTTGTTGTCCTTGCATGTTCAGATAAGGAAACAGAGGTTTAAGAGATGAAGCCATGGGTGTGGTGTCACACAGTCTCAGCAGCACACACCCAGGATGACTGATATTTTATAAATCTATCTGGAAGAGTAGGTGCTTATGCCAACCACCCCATCCTCAGAAGCAGCAGCATCGCCCTGGGGAACATGCACTGGGTGCCGGGGATGACACTCAGTACCTCACACAAAATCATTTAGGTCATGATCCAGTCAGCTCCATCTTTCTATAACACAGGTAGCATTAGCCTATTATTTATGAGTTAAGAAATTAGTTTGGAAGTAGTGGGACACACCTGTAATCACACATTCTTGGAGGTTGAGGCAGGAGGATGCAAGCTCAAGCTGAGCAATTTAGCAAACAATAAGGCTTTGTTTTAAAAATGGAAAATTTTTAAAAGGCTGGGTCTCTACTTCAGTGCAAAGGCCCTAGGTTCAAACCCCAGTACAAGGAAGGAAAAGAAGGAGGGTTGGAGGGAGGGAGGGAAACAGAGAGAGGGGAAAGGAGGGAGAGAGAGAAGAAAAAAAAAGTAACTAAAGGTTAAAGAGGTCAAATCAGTGACCCAAATGGCACATCAAAGATCATCCACAAACTACAAAATAATAACACCAAGTTAGCTTATAAAGTTAATGCTGTCAGAGCAAAAGTAACTTATTGTTTGGCTTTGCTTTAAGTCAGTCTCCAGGTGACTCCAATGTACCTTAACAGTCTCCCATTTTCTGCTCAGTCATTCAAACTGCTGTCGTGATCTGTTTTTCTCTCCTGTTCTTATTATTATGCATCAGCTTGAGTCAAGAGAACGTTGGAACATTTGTACAACAGAGAAATGCCCTTGCTTTTCACAATGGTGAGCAAAGAAATTCAAAACTTCCCTGAATATCTGCCATCCTGACGCTATGAGTGAAATGTCAGTAGAAATGCAAGTAACTGTGAGATCTATAAATACAAAAGCAGGGCTACAATAGTGTCAAATACATCCAATGCCTAAAACTGAACTGGCAGATAGAGCTAATATGCTGAACAACCCACATTTCTCTGCTCCTTCACTTAAGCCCAGGAATCACTTCATCTGTAAATTGGAAATTCTTACATATTATAAAGTTGTGCTACTTTTAAGGTGAAAAGGACCCCAGAGGGCCAATGGCTGTCCTATCAGGCAATAGGAACACCCTTCTAAAAGGGTTCTGCCCAGGAAGGAGTCTCATAGGGCATTCAGGCCATCCAGCTGGACCCTCTGCACAGCATAAGCTTTAGTCTCTATACTGCTCCATGATTGGGACCAGAAGGATTTTGCCAGATTTCTCAGAAGACAAATTAGAAGAGATGGGGCAGCAGGGGGAGCAGTACAAGGCTTGGGTGTCACTTAAGGTCACATAATTGATTATCTCATTTAAAAAACTGCATGCCTAAAAAAATATTTTAATGTTTCACACAAAAATATCAGAAAACAGTTAAGTAGGCCAAAAGGATGGTGTCTTAGTTACCTTTCTTATTGCTGAGATAGAGTACTCAACACCCAAAGTTAAAGGGGGAAATGTTTATTTGGCTTACAGTTTGCATAGGTTTCAGTCCATAGTTGCCTGGCTCCAAGGCAGGGTGGCGTGGCACAGGGGCATCATAGAGGAGAAACAGTTGATGGCGGGCAGAAGGCAGAAGTCAGCATGCCAGCAGGCAACAACAGCAGCTTCTTTCTGTCCATTTTATAATCTGTCTAGGCCACCTGGCTTAGAGCGGGTGCCAATTAGTGGATTAATTTAGTAATCACACACCTTAATCCTAGGATCGTACCATGAATCAATCCCAGCCTCACTCACTCTCCAGCCATCTCTGAAAAAGCCCCACCTACAACTGCCTGAGGCTTTGGCAGGACATCTAGACACAGGATGAATAGCTGAGTATAAGCAGAAATTCAAGTTGTCATGACTAATATTTTGTTTTCCTACTTATTAAAATACAAAAACAATAATAATAACAGTACAATAGAATATATAACCAATAAAATTTGAGTCTTTATCCATTTTCATGAGTTTTTATGGAAGTCTAGACACTCTTCATATCATGGAAATCATCTTTAAAACTGTCTGTATACATCACCCTATACACAGAAACTCCAGCTATTCCTGAGGTCCTTCCTGGAAACCCAGCCTGTACGACTCTTCCGCCTTTCTTCCCATTACTTCTTGCCCCATGTTTTTATTTGTTTGTTCCATCAAGTAGTTCCTTTGGGCTTCTCTGATGTCTTTCACTTTTGTTTCCTTTGTCTGTTACTCAGATTCTATTTAATAGGAAAGCCAGAAGGTGACACTACAAGCAAAAATAATTTGTGTTTAGAGTCAGGCCCAAGAGTGAAATTGAAAAAAAAATAATAAATTAATCCCTTTCAGCTCATTTATATACAAATGTACACAGATTTTCAAGATGTAGCACTCTATGTAGGCTGAAAAACTTGCTATTTTCTTTGGATCATTGCAGTTTGTGCAGAAGCTGTCTGTTTATAGTCATTGTAATGCCAAGAGCTAATATAGAAGTTCACAGCATCTAAGAATCCTATTGTTGAAAATTTTGAGGAGGAAGTCACTGCAACCAAGTGGAGAGCTCAGATCAGCCTCTTAGAGTCCAGGTAGTACTGAAAGAAAAATTTGCAGTGGGCCACATAGTAGACACTCAATAAGCCCTTGTTGAATTCAATGTTGCAAAGCAAAGAATAAAGCTGAATTTTTCCAAGCCCCCAAGAGTGCTAGCTTTTTTTCATTCGGGTTTTGGGGGTTTGATTTAACTAAGGGCAAGAGAGTTTCATTTCATCATTACAGCCAATTTTTACTTCCTATAATTGTAATGTGCATCAGTACTCTTTCCGCCAGCTCTGGTAATGAGGCTGAACAGAGGTACATGCCTTTACCTAAGCACATCCAACTGTCTGCTCTTCTGGGCTCATTTCTATGATGGAGTTTTGTGAACTGGATCTTCTGCACATGCCTCATACTGTGGTCTTGAGCACAGGAGGTGGGAAGGCCTGTTTAGAGGAGGTGGAGAAAGAGAAGGAAAATAAATTATTCAGTGTGTTTATCTGACACTCAGACAAACCAAATAGGAAAATGGCAGTCACCAGAAACCTCTTGGACTTACTTTTCCTTTGTCAACCAGGACTATCACCTGTGTTTCATAAACTTAGAGTCACAAAGCCTAAGGTCACACCATGCTCCATCACCACAATCACAAGGTTTCATGTGGGAAAGATGCAAACTCCTTTTGGTGATCCCTCTTTCAACAGTAAGTATAGTTTTTATGTTCAAATCAATCTGAAAGAAATCACTTTAAAAGCTTGTCATTGTACAGTGCAAACACTTGCTAGGATTCCCTGATGCATTTCGTCATTATTGAAACAGTAACCAAAAATACATAAAATGTAATGAAGAAGGAGCCCATCTGGGACCCCAGTAATGCAATGATGGGGCAATAACATCTGCTTAAGTAGAAGATTAGAATTAAAGAATGCAAATGTTTTCATCACCAGTATAACTCTTTGTAACTGATTTCAGTAAATACCTGGTGCCTGCTCTTGTATGGCCCACAGTTGATAAATGGGCCTCAATTTTTCATTTTGAATGATTATTTCCTTTCACAATTTTCCAAGAGCCTTTCCATGCCCCATTGGAAGACCGTCCCATGAACAAAGCTCCTTCAGGGAAGACAAGTTAATTATCTGACTGCCGCTCTGATTGCAGGCTGCTGGAAATAAAATTCTTCACCAGCTCCAGTGGTGAAGCAGCAACATGGTACTAGATCCCTGCAAGACCAGTTCATGGGTAAGTCAGAGAGCAGTCAACGACTAAGAACCCAGGCAAGGAACCAGGCAGGCTTGGCTTCAATCCTCCCCTGACTAGAGGTAGAGCTTTGAGCAAGTTCTTTAAACTCTGTGTGCCTTAGTTTTCCCATGTGTAAGATGGAGATAATATTATTTCCTAAATTGTAAGCTTATTATAAAGAGTAAATAGCATGATGTGTACTAAGCTCTTGGTGCATAGTAATTGTTGCAAAAATATTTCTGCTCTGAGAAATCATATCAGATACGCAGTTTCCTCTGACTCACCAGAAGATATGGGAGTTATTTTATGAAGCTTTCCTAGACATTACTGCAGAACTACTTCTACATTGCACGTGCTTCCTTGCTTCCCATGTTTAGTGACCCATATTAGCAACTTCAGAGAGGACACTAATGTGTATTTCCTGAGACTGGCTCTTCAAGACTTCCCACAGACAGCACACCTCTGGAGGAGTGGGACAGCTTTTCTAGAGGTAAGGTCTCCATAGGAAACCTCTTCCTCCTTAAGCATGCATTTGTGATGTGTTCACATAACCACTACTTCTACAAATTTGTTCTTTTTTGTCATCTACTAATTATGCTGCCAAATTGAAGGGGGCTGGGACAACACCATTCCTCTAGTTAAGATAATTGATTTAGTCCAAGAAAGGGGACAGAGGGGGCCAGCGAAGTCCCTTTGGTTCAGTGTTTAAATATTTGAACTGTGGGGTACATATTCTAATCTGAGTTTCAGAAAAGCGAAATAAACAGTACAAGAGCCAAATATGTATTAATTATGGCTTATTTATTTAGTGCCAGCAATGTGTATCAAGCTGTGCAAAGGGTAAATTGAAAGGGGAATTGAAAGGGGGAAAATAAGGTCCCAGTTCAAAAGAGCTTACAGTCTCAGAATATGTTACCCACATATCTGAATGCTTCACTTTGAAGCTGGTGACTGTCAATGATAAAAAAAAAAAATGGATTTAAAACCACAGTGACAATGGGGTGGGGACAAAGGGATACTGGCCATCCCGGTACACCCCAAAGGGAAATTCCCACTGCTGATTCCTAGTTCCTCAGCACCCTCTGGGAACCAGGTTCAACACAACTTCAAAGCAGGCACAGTACTGCTGACCTCTTCCTTCCATAGCTGACCACTAATTTCCAGTCACACAGAATAAAGCTCCAGTTCTTCTGACAAAACTATTGCCCCTTGATAAGTTACCATAGGAGAATCACAATCCTAGCAGCAACCTGTACCTGTGAATTCTTATGGATGTAATTGCAAAGTGCTGCTACTTAAGAAAGGCTTGCTAGATGACTCCAGAATCCTGAACCTGTAAGCTTGTGTGAATCATTTTATAAGAACAAGAACCATAACCCATCCCTTGATTTGATTTCAAAACAAAAAGGCCTTACTATTTTTTAATCCTCTTACTGAGGTCTAAATTGCATACAATAAAATTCACTCATTTTAAATGCACACTCGCATGAGTTTTGACAATGTGTATGGTCACATAACCACTACCAAAATAATAATATAGAAAATTTTCACCATTCCTGAAAAATCCCCCCATCCCTTTTTCATTCAATCTCTGCCCCATCCTAGGTCCTTGCAACCACTGATCAACTTTCTGTTGATACAGTTTTAGCTCTTTTAGAATTTCACATGAATGAGGTGGTGCCATATGAAGTCTGTTGTGTTTGGCTTGCTCATCTATAATAATGACTTTGAAGTTCCTCCACATTGGAAGTGTGCATTCAGTGTTCATCCTTTTGTGTTGCTAACAGCATTCCATTGTATGGATATACCGCAATTTGCTTACCCGTGAACATCTGGGAGGTTTATAGCTTGGTACTGTTATGAATAAGGTGCAATAAAGATTCAAGTACGTTTTTGTGTGAGCACATTTTTTTTAGTTCTTCTGAGAAAATACCTAAGAACAAGATTGTTTGATCATACAGAGAGTGTTGTTTGCATTTCTAAGAATTGCCAAAGTGCTTCTATCATCATGCATGCTCATCCTTGTCAACTCTTGGTGCTGTCAGTTTTTGTTTTTTTTCATTTTGGCCACTCTAGTCAGTGTGGGAGAGAATCTCATTGTAGTTTTACTTTGCATTTCTCTGATAACCAGTAATGTTAAGCATATGTTCATGTACTTATTTGCCATTCACATAGATTCTGTAATGAAATGACTATCAAGTCTTTTGACAATATTTTTAGCAGGGTTTTTCTCTTTATTTTTTTTAGTTGTAATAATTCTTTATATACTCAGAAGTTCTCTGCAGATATTTGTTTTGTTATTTTATTTCCTATTTGTGGATGAACTTTTCATTTTTCTGGTAGGGTCCTTTGAAGTAAAAAAGGTTTTAATTTTGACAAAAATTAATTTCTCAATTATTTCTTCTTCTATTCATCATTTTTGTGTCCATTCTGACATATCCCTGCCTCCCGAGGTCAAAAAAGATTTTCTCCCATTTTTTTTCTCAAAACTGTATGCTGTCAGATTTAACACTTGAGTGTATGATCTATTTATCTTTAATTTTATTTATGAAATAAGACAAGGATTGAGGATTTTGTGCATGTAAATATTCAAATATTCCAGCACTATTTACTGAGAAGATGATCGCTATCTCACTGAATTTTGTCTACACAAAGATGGTCAAACCATCCCCATAAATGACCATCATGGCAGTCATGAGAATGAAAAGTGGGGATGAGACTCTTGGAATAATGATAAAGGTGTCAGTACACACATGGAATATTACTCTGCAGCCTCTTAAAATGACAATAAATTCTACATTTATTAATGATGGAAACACTGTAAGTGACAAATACCCTAGGATAAAATAGAATACATGAGTGATCTCACATTCTAAATAGAATAAGAGGCAGAATAAGATACACAGAAACAGACAAACTGACCAAATGATGTAATCTGAGAAGTTAATCATCATCATCATCATCATCATCATCATCATCATCATCATCATCCTGAGGCAATGAATTCAAGGCGATTTCTATTTTCTGTAATTTTGTGAAGTTTTTCAATGTGCAAGAGATTTTCATAAAGACAAAGCTATTTCTGTTTTGAAAAATTACCATAGGTGAAAAGAAACAGAAATGAGAGTGAGCAGTAAGTGACTATTCAAGTTTTGTAGGGCTAATCCATCCCATTTGCCACTATGAAGACTTAATGAGTCTCAGTGTCAGATGAACAGCATGGAGGGTGTCCAAATATAGTTCCAAGCCAGGCATCCACTACCTCTAAAACACATTCCGACATCCCCAACTCTTGTATCTAAGGATGCTGAAGTTGAACGCATGGCGGTAAAAGTGTCCTGGGAAACATAAATAATTATATAAATGAGTAATCAGGTTGTTTTAAATTAATTTCATTCAGATTCAGTTGTTTATGGCCATAAGGCAATGCCAAGCCACTTTTTAAAGAATATTGGGTTTATTACTAATTACTTATAATTGGATTTTCTGCCTTGTGTGTTATCTGCAGTAGCTCCAGAATTATCACCCTCATTTATCACAGGAGCACCCCAGCTGACTGGGATCTTATAGGCACTATACCTATCAAGAATGAGGCTTCAAACTGCATCAAAGAAAAGAACAAGATAAAGGAATTGGGAATAGATCCATGTAAAGAAGAGATGCCTAAGGAATTTCTGATCCACTGCCTTTCAGTTTTTGATAGTGAAGTTATTAATCAGTTGGACAAGAAGCAGAAGGAGTAAATAAACTTAACTTAAAATTAGGAGGATTTCATGTTGGCCAAAGGGTGTGTTTGCTCAGTAATATTCTTCAACAAATTTGCTAAGCACTCATGGAGCTTCCGGTATAGTTCAGGATCTGTCCAAGGTGCTGAAGTTGTTCAGTGATGATCGATCAGGGTCTCAGATTCCAAGGGGTTTGTAGTGTGATGGACGGAGGTCAAGGTTGTAAGACACTGGGGAAGTGCCACTGAAACTGTTAAGGAGTCTCCTTGAAATGTTAGCCTTCATAGCATCACTTGTCTTGGAATTATTAGATATCTCTCTGCCAAGAACAAGAGCTGTACCACATGCCTTTCAGGTCATTCCTAGTCTTGCAAAGCCAATGTTTGGGGGGTCTCTATGTCTGTGTTGACTTTTGCACTTTTGTTTCAAGGTTACTTTTTAAGCTACTACTTTTGAACACTTATTCTGTACTGCCCATTGGG